TCTCAGAAACTCGTGAATAACAATTATGTAAAACGCCTACAAGAAGTTATTTCTGTTGAAGGGAGGAGCAGTAGCTTCTGTGGCAACAGGAGGATATTAAATGTATGGATATTTTTGCAGGTGTCGTGGTATATCTTCTTTATCTGTACACCACATCAACAAGGATCAAGCGTTTGTTTCACAAAATCTATAAAAGGCATTGCTCTCGGTGGGATTTCCCTTTTTCCACATGGCTGTATACTTTGCTTAAGCTAGTTTTTCAATGTTTATTTTTTATACTCTTTTACTTACAATGAAAAAAAAAGGTCAAAAGATATTTTTCAGAGGGCACCACAATTTTTTATTTTTTTTTGGCAGAGCTGCCGGCAGACTTTTTTGGAAGTGCATGCAGGGTCATATTTTTCTCCTCACGCCTAGTATATGTGTTCTACTCCAGGCTTTCTTTGGAAGACATTTAATAGTTAAACACTTTCACTTGCACTATGTTGAACTTGCAAAAGCAACACCTCTCAATTACGTTTTCATTAAAGTGGTGCACATTAAGAGTTCCACTTAATATAAATGGAGACCTATTATGTTGATATCAAGCTCCACATATTTATTCTTTTTTTCCACAAAAGTAGCTTTGCATGACTCACAATAATCACAATAATCCTTATTTGTCTTATACTTTAGCTCTCTTCCACCTCCATTTAAGCCAAATTTCCTCTGATTGGTTGCCCCTCAGGGAGTGGGTGGGCCTCTGTTCACATGGACAGAGCTTTGTGCTTGAGATTACCATAGTAGGGATGTCAGCTCAATGAGAGAGCCAAAACTGCAGCTATAGGCTCACGGAAGTGACGTACACATATGCTGTCCTCATTATTTAACACTTTAGCCATGCTTAATGTAAGCATCCAGCATTGTAACAATAAATATGACATAAAATAGGTCCTCTTTAAGGTCTAAATTGGAGTAAACCAATGACAAATGTTTAACAGAGGGTGTTTTAACTAAATCAAACATAGTGGAGGGCATAACTTTTGAAACAAAGTTTAGCCAACCCCAATATTTTATTTTATATTTTGCAAAAGTCTCAAAAATAAAACTACTAGCTTGGAGACAAAATGTCCCCTGTGACTATATCTTTAATGTCCAGTCTCATTCTGAGAGATGGCTTGTAGCTGTTGGTCACTTTCCACCACTGCTTGGTCATTTATTACATGCCCTTATGACAAAACCGCATTTCCAGCGCTTCACGTTGTCAGGAAACGCGAGCCTTGGGCTGCACTGTCCGCTGAGACATTAAAAGACGTACGAGATTGAAAAGTGATGGATTGTTTCCAGTAATCCTTCGGGTTTCAGCATCAATGTGGGAAAGCACGTGGAGCTCTGAACACATCAAAGGCAATACGCGGTCTCGATGCCACAGTCATGAGAAGCTTTATCCAATATGGCCCACTTCACAAGAGGTACAGCGAGGATGTGAGTCAGCAGCAGTGGAAAGTGAATTCAACATCTGCCTGGCTCCCAGCTGCAGAGGTTAAAGAACACAGAACTGGGATTTTCTCTACGAGCGGGTCAAGCGAGTGGCTCGGACTGGCTTGGAATGCTTTCCCCCTTTTTTTTAATGCTCAATAATGGTGCATTTTGCATGCTTGGTAGATGTGAAGTTGACAAATCAAGCAGGGCAGCAGTTTTGAGAGATCAAGGAACTCCAGGATTTAAGTGGGGGGAAAAAAAACAACGTTCTTCACCACTCCAAAGCCGGGAGGCTCTCTGGAGCGAGCTTAATTACCAACTGCAGGCAGAGCTTCATTTAGAAACCACAGGGCTTTTACTGAAAATCAGAGGTGCTAATAAGTTGCCTGCCCATTCGAGGTCATCAGCACGGGAAGCAGAGAAGAAGGGTGTTGTTTTATCTAACTCTTATTTTCCTGTTAGTTTGTAGCTTAAACTAGACTCTTTGCTTTATACACTGCTGTTTTGTATCATTATCTGTGTCAAGTAGAGTAATTATCTAACAAATGTATAAAAGCGGCTCTCTAATTAAATGCCACGGGCTGTAGGAGACGGAGATAAATTATTTATTCTGCTTTGATGAGAGCTAGCTAGCTCTGAGCAGTCAGTCGTTTTTAGACTTGAAACCGCTGTAGCGGGATTTTACTGAAACTTTTCTGGGGGTGGGAAGAAAAAAACAAAAAAACCAAGCAAAAATTTGAATGTTTGCCACCAAGGTTTCTGTGTTTGAGAGCCAGCTTCTCCAAAGATGGTCATTCAAGAGACAAAGGTATGTACGAGTCAGGAAGAGGCGAGGTTGTTCAGAAACAAAGTATGCAGTGTTTCAACCACAGCTCTGATCTAATGTGATCTTTGTAGCTGCAGGGCAAGTTAAAAATATATTCCTCCAGCCAAAAAAAAAAAAAAAAAATTTTTTAAAAAAAACCCCCAAAAAAAAAAAAAAAAAAAAAAAAAGGGGGGGGGGGGTCACAGTAATAAAGCATAACTCAGGAGGAGAATCAACAAATGAGACAAAGGAGGCGAGCCAAGGTCAGATAAGAATTTCTTATTCCAATAAAAAATACATTCATACAGAAATATAACAATTTTGCAAAACAATTTCAAATAAAAATTTCATAAAGCATAAACATAACAATTTTACAAAAGTTTTTTTTTCCTTTTTTTTAATACAAAGATTTTAGAGAACAAAGAGCTCTGTGTGTGTGTGTGAGACAGAGTAGTTTGGGTAGTGGAGATGAAAGTGATGATGGAGATGTGAAAAAAAAAGAAAAGAAATGCGAGCAAAGACAAGAAGGAAAGAAAAAAAGCATGAGGCTGAATCAAGGCTCAATTATCACTTGGAACAGTATCGGCTGCTGTTTTCGCAGAATGGATGTTCCTGCTCTTTGCCTGCCAAGGGCCTTGCCAGCGCTCCCAAAATCTATCGCAGCAAGCACTTTCAAGTTTGTACTCATCCCCATCTCCAGTGCCCGCTCATCTGAAATCCATATGTCGGAGCATGCCGCTCTGCAACTTGCTGCGACATTGGATTCCTGCAGCCGGGTCGCTGACCTAGAGACAGTGCCGCACAAAGATTTATCCTAAAGCAGTAATCGGTAGAAGCCCAAGCGGTTTGGGAGTCGGGGGGTTGGGCTCTACTTTGTCGTTGAGGGTCCTTCTCACTCCACCTCCAAGCAGAAACTTTGATGAGCTTTTTTTGTGGCCAAATTTCCCAGATCCTGAGAGCCTCCATTCACCCCACCCAGCTCACTCCTGTGGTTTTCATAATACTGTTGCAGCTTGGCTAAAACAAAGCTCTCCAGACAGGTCAATAACCAACCTACACAGTCAGCAGTCTGTGACAGATTCCATGCCAACAAAGCCTTTAGCAATTCATTACTGTGAGGCGGTACAAGGCGAGGCCTGTCCGACTGCAGCCTGTTAATTACAATAAATCTTTAGCTTTTTTCCCCCCTTCAGTCCCACTCGAAGGGATGCAGGGACAAGGAAAGGGGGGTGGTCAAACCGGGGTGGGGTGGGGAAGGACACCGGTGAATGAGAGGAGCAGCACTGTGTGTGATGGACTTCAGTACATACTACACAGTAGTTAACATCTTTAATAAATGAATTTAAGTGCTCTAAACATACAGCATTTGTCCTATGTACAAGTTCAAACTTAAATTAATGGCATTTACATCGACTAAACTGGTGCTCCGACTCAAAAAGAGACGGGGAAAAAAAAAGGCAGTTGACTCAGAAAAGGTACTTTTGTGAACATTTACATTTAAACAACAAATTAACTGCCAGAAAAAACTAGTTTAAACACAAAGTAGGTGCAATTTCATTTGTAATTGAGCCTTGATTAAGCTTTTCGCAAATCACCCAGACAACAAATGTGACACCCCAAAGGGAGCAAAACCACGGCTACCCCAGAGGGCCGAGTCACTTGCATAAGGCACCATTAAAAGGTCAACAGTGCATTATTGGAAAGAAAGTACAAAAAAATCCAAAATGACTCCTCAAGGCAAAGAATGAATGAGAATGTTAGCAAGCAGGGGTGATCTGACAAACCAGAATGAAGGCAATGGATTTAAGTGTTAAAATATATATTAAAAAAAAAAAAAAAAAAGGAAATCGTCAAGGCTTTATGTACAATATTGTAACATTTAACTGTTTGCCGTTTAGCTGCACTTTTATTGAAACTATCTGGAGTCCTGATTACAGTGGAAACAGGAAATGAAGAAACCCTAGAACCATGCAACACCTGTCTATGATACTGAAGTTATAGTATAGTTGTGTTATACCTCTAAGCACACAGCTTATACAATTGGACTACAAATGAGCTTTGTAGCTTGTAAAAAAATAATAAACCAGGCTACATAACACATTGCACATTTAGTAGCTGCACCAAAAACACCAAAAAAGCTCCTGTCATACAGTGACCAAGAGAGGGGAGGGGTGTAGGGGGGTGTTTTGGTCCCTAGGTTACACAGACCAGACATGTCAGCACCTCTCTCTCTCTCTTTGTCACTGGCTCTGGTCAAACCCAAGGCCTCGCTAGCTTCAGAGAAGCAGGGCCCCCCCCTCCCTCACCCAAGTCTGGTTACCACACAAGGCAGGCAGGCAGGAGCTTCCTCCCTGCCTCATCCTCACACCGCCACCAGGGAAACACAAGCGGAATGCTTCTCCCAGAATGCTCAGTCCACAGCAACATCGGTACCAGCCCATCCACCAATCCCATCTCTTCTACCCCCCAAAATTCTCCTCTTCCTCTCCTCTCTCTTCCAGATGGGGAGGAGGGGGGTCCGGTAGCCAATCGCAGACATTCACAGTGCACACATGCTTGCCTCAGACAGTTTAGTAAAGTACCAGTGTATCTGCTGTCTGGGAGATGTCCCCAAAACATCATGCACCATACGTACAAATCATTCACTCTTTAATTGTCTTTTCTTTTTATTTCTTCTGTTTTTTTTGTTTAGTTTTGTCTTTTTGTGTGTGTCTGTGTGTGTTTTAAGTCCTTCTCAATCCAAAAAAAAAAACAAAAAGAAAAAACCGACAAAAAAAAAAACTTGCCCATCCATGATTTTGTCCTCTTGTTGCAACAGACGACCTTCAGAGCGCCTTTCTCCGAAGAGAGGTCCCGGAGGCACTGGGTTTCAGTATGGTGCAAAACGGCATGCTTTGGCTGGAACACTCTCCCGCCACCCTGCTCTGGGACAGTTCAACCAAGAGACTGGTCGGGAGGCGGCGTTTGTTTACATTTTTTTTTCCTTCCTCTCCCCTTTTCAAAACTTTTTTTCCCCCCCACTTTGTGGCGTCGCTCGGCGCTCACCCCGCTCTAGATGTGCCTCTTCATGTGAAGAGCCAGATGGTCAGACCTGGAGAAACATCTGTGGATAGATTGGGGGGAGGCGAGAGAGAAAGTCAGTAAGATGCTGGATGAGGCACGCTGTAGGGCATGAAGATAGTCGTTGCAATCTGCAGACCTAAACTGAGAAATTCGTAATATGAAGAAGCCAGTTGCTTCATTTTTCCTGCACCCTGGCTTTTCCTGATTTTTGTGTCAAAGACTCTAAAAATTAGAGTCCAAACATCAACGCAGACAAGCAATCTTGACATCTGACTCATAAGCTTCTGTTGGGCCTGAAATATGCTATGTCACATTTTTACTAGACAAACTGGCCAAAAATATCAACATGTGTATACTGAGTTAGCATTACCCGATATATCAGAGCGATCTATTCATTAGTCGAGTACTAGTTTTTTGGGCTACATGAATGTGCTTTCAGTCTAAAGACAAGCATCACTGCTAGGATGATGCATGGGAAGTGAAAATAATAAATTAAAAATCAGATCCCATGAGAACAAAAGCAGTCTTATCAGAAGCCCGGTGACGATGCTCGGAGATAAACAGTCCAGCTTACCTGTCACAGTGACTGCATTTAAATGGCTTTGCCCCGGTGTGCTTCCTGAAGTGTCTGGTCAGCTCGTCGCTTCGTGCAAAACGCCACTCGCAGCCCTCCCAAGAACACCTGTATGGTTTCTCACCTGCGGGAGCAAACAAGAAGACTGGTTAAAACCTGCGCTAACATTTCCTCCTGGTGTGATGACATGCTTGTTTCGTTCATTCAAATCAATCAGGAAGACAGACTGACAAAGCTGTCTGAAACCTGGGATACCACTGAACCTGTTGGCTCACAGGCTCTGCGTGCATGCAGCTCGAAACATGCCAAGAATGTCAACAGTGCTGCAGTGTGGCTGAATGTGTGGGATATTTAAAATGCAAAACAGAGGGAGGGGAAAAAAAGAAGAAGCCGCAAGTGCAATTTCACACTGCTGATCAAACACAAGGGACATTGGAATGACCAGTCAAAGCACCTCCCAGTTCAGTCCCCCCGGCTCCTCAGCCAGTCTCCCCTTTCCCATGGTGAAACCCAATCTGTTTTGAAGTCCTTTTATCTCCTACGTACAACCCCTCCCCCTTGTAAACCCCCCCCTCTCCTCACTCTCTCTCTGGCTCAGTCAGTCACATTCCAGATAGATTAGGTCACAGTTTAGCTATCCAGCCATGCAGAGCTAATACTCAGCGCTCCAGCTGAGGACATCATGCACTGTGGACCTTTAATTACATGACACAATGGGCAGACGATGCCATTAAGGTGGAAGACTGAATTAACAGCACTCCTGGCATCGACTCAATAAAATCTGAGATTTTATTTTTTTAAAGAAAGTACTGTCTTTCCTTGTATCCCCCTTTTCTGTTTTTACTCTGGGGCAGATAGAGCCGGGACTCACCTGTGTGTGTGCGCTGGTGTGCTTTTAGGTGGGAGCTCTTTGTGTAAACCTTGCGACACCCATTGAAATGGCACCTGTGCACACGCCTCCTGCCGTCCGGAGATGCGTCTCCGCAGGCAAGTCCCGTCTTTTCCGAGCTCTTTGCCACGCCGCCGCTCCTGATTTTGACCGGCAAGTGCAACTCGGCGTGCGTGCTCACCCAGCTGCTCATCGCGCCGCTGGCCTCCGAGTTGGCCTCGGGAGAGGATGGAGGTGTGCTAATGACAGAGGGGCTAAAAGGTCCAGAGCCAACCAAGACAGAGCCCAGAGGGTTGGAGGTAAAGCTGTGAGTGGGCGAGAGCTCCTCAGAACTGTCTGAAGCCTCGCTGCTGGCGTCTGAATTCACACTGTTGGTTTCCAAGATTTGGCTGTCCTGATTGTCCTCCTCGTGGGCCTTTGGGTCAGACTCGGCCTTGGCCTTATCCCCGCAGGCCAAGATCAGCTTGCTCCAGAGGTCCTCTTGGCTGTCGAACTTGAGGTCGGATGTGGAGACGTAAGGCTCGCTCTGCAGGTAGCGCTCCAGCTCCAAGCATGTCTGGATGAATGCAAAAGAAAAAGACACAGTAAGAACAGATGAGTCACAGCACATTCACTCATAGCAGCAAAATGCTTCTGCGAGAGGGGAAATCCTTTTAAATCATGCATGCGCACATCCCCAGTATGCTTTTGGCTGGTGGAATATTTGCTAAACGCTTACAGCGGGAAACCAGCAAATTTCTGCTATTTCTGCATGTGCAGTAATGAGGCTGCACTGATTAAGCAATGGAAGGAAAATTAAAGAAAAAACAACCAATATTTGCTGCTTCTTTGTATCACATGACGCACGCTGATATACGTCTTAAAAGTTAAGCCCCGATTTTCAAAACTTTAAACTTTTGATGGCCAATTTGGGGAAAAAATAAAGACACATGCTTCTAGAAACCGCCATTATTTGCATTTCCTGATGCCGGCATCACTAATCATGTGTCTCCTTTGCTCAGCTCAGCCCCCTCCACCGCTGATTGGGCATCATAACACGACGCGACCACATGGAGTTCATTGAGCAGCCTCAGCTCTGAGCTCTCCTGCAGCCAAACGTGCAGTGTCATTTCAGCACTCCACAATGACTCACTCAACAAATATAGAGTCCTTTTAAGGAAGCCGCTCAACTTCCCCCTCCAACATTTCAGCTGCTTGTCCTCATGCAGGACCGCTGTCATGCAATCAGTCCTTCCCCTCACTGTCAGCCCCTCCAAGCCCCAGCTGTGAAAAGATTCACTGACTCTAAATTTGCTAACTTCTACAGGGCCCTTAAAGTTAAAAAGCAAAAAAGGAGGAGGGGGGGGTCATTAGAAGAAGAGTTCTGAGACAGCAGCTTTTATAAATATTCTCCTCTAGGCCTCTGCAGCTTTTACACTACATTTTTCCAGCTGTGCTGGTGTCTACTCATGCGAGGAGGAGTAATTGGCCGAGGCTTGACATTTTGATATCGTTATGCCGTGGAGCCCATTCAAATCCCAAGAATGATACAAACATCTGCTTCGTAAAGGAAAGCAAATGCTCTGAAGCACATAGACGTATAACGCAGATCCCACAACAGACTTATAACCTTGTGATTTGAAAAGCACCGACAACGACATCCTCTCATGCTGATTTCAAACTGCACTTCCTTCCCACAACCGCTGTCATTCGCCAGCATGTGTCAGCAGCTGACAGAAGCACCCCAGTGCCCTGAAAGCATCGGCCGAAAAACAAGCAGAAGCCGTGCTCCAAACAGAGCAGTGGCAGTGAAGCAGCAGCACGCCGATTCTGCTCGAGTTACTCTCTCCCCATTCATCTCGGACTCCAGCTGTCAGACTGACACACTGATCCACTTCAGCCGGCCACAAACTTCAGAACCAAACAGAAAATGAAACGGGATCCGTCTAAGCAGCGGGAGCCTGTTTTTGTACAACCGTTATCAGCGTACATACACGGACATAGTACATATAAATACATTTGAAGTTGTCCGCCGTGTCATGTGTTACAGCAAGAAGAGCATGAAATCTGCTCAGTTCCGCTTTGCCTTACAGGCTCAAATTGAGACTTAGTAGTGGAAAAAAAGAGCTGCTAGCGGATACATTAACTTATATTCACCTGCTGCCAGTACTCCTCCAGTGACGGTAAGGCTGAGAAATAGCCCGTGTCGTGAACTATTTGAAGTTCTTGAAAGATGCTGCACATGGGTAGAACATCCATTTTTCCCCGAGCTTGTGATTTTTTTATTATTTAAATTTGTTTTAGCTGCACTTAAATATATTTTTCTCAGGTAGAAAACCCAGTGAAAGACACAGCAGCGATCCCTCCGCGATGCAAACGACTTGTACTCAGCAGCAGCAGCAGAAGAAGACTCCGCGCGTCAGTCAGCCAGTCAATCCCCCCCTTTCCTTCTTCTCTCGCTCTCGTTCAAGGTATTTGCAAACACTGCACCACACTGGATGGGGAACAACTGCGCTCTGCAAACTTCCCTCTTCAAACCTCGATGCCCCCTCCCCTCCTTCCCTCTACTCCTCTGCCGCCCCCTCGTCGTCATCAGTTACGCCCGCCTCCCTTTCCACCAATCAGCGACGAGAAGAGCAAGGGCCCGCGAATGATATCACAGCCGACCAATCGCGTCGGTCCGCTAACTCATCTCCGTTTCTAAGTGGTTCGTTTAACTCTCAGTGGCTCGTCTCTGATTGGCTGGTATTTATAGCCACATATATATAACCAGCGACTGGCTCTTTTCGCCGTAGTCTTTTTTTCTGTCGACGGTGTTTCGCCACAGACAGCGCATGTGAGCCGAAACAGTTTCTCTTCTGTGGCGAAACCTCTTGTGTACATGTGTGCAACTTTTGTCACAAGTAGCAGTTGCAACAGTGTTGTTTGAAGGGGGTTGTCTTCAAGGCCGTAACTGTGGCGAAGTGCTTGTGTTGACAAGAGCCATTGAAAGTTCCACTCGGTGAAGACGTGTCTTGGGACACGGTGACTAATGGATGGCAGGATATTATGTTATCACGACACACGCTGTCATTAGAGGAAACATGTAGACTTCTGCTTTATCGCTGATTTACTGAAGGAAGATCAAAGTTGCACTCTGTGGTTGAGGTTTGACAAGTGCAGCCCTTACTGGGGTTTTTTTTAAAGTATCTTTTTAAACCCTAATTTGCACTTAAAAGAGCACAACGCAGAATTAATATTCAACAGTAGTTCCCCAAAGTTAAAGAGTTTGTTTTACCCCAATTTAATTATTATGATACATGGAGAAAATCCTGTATAAATTAACACTCAATTATTCCCAAGATCATTCTAGACCATGTTTAGGCGGGAATTTAACCAAATCTTTGAGCCTAGCTTTGCACTGCTGTGCCCTGTGTTTGTGTAGACAGGAAGTGAGGAAAACACACTTTTAGAATAGTTCCACTACTTGTCTTCATCTTTTGTTTTAAAATGAGAAGTGAGAAGTACTAGTGCTGTGCCATACTGCACATTTTGATATGCCCCAAGTATTGCCGATACCGATACTTTCAACTTATAAAGGCAGCTTTTGTAGGGGAGAGGAGTGCGTCATGATTTATACAATGAATTCTGAATGCATCTTAATGACTCTAAGTCACCACGATTTTTACTTCCACAGTAATTAGTTAACATGAAAGCAAACTTTTTGTGTCTTTGTAAACTTTTTTTTCTTTTACTTGAGACTTAAAATTTAAATGTGCCTGTCTTTGGGTCAGCTTCTGTTGTTTAAATGTGCTATAGGCTATAAAAAAAATTAAAAAGGGCATGACAGTCAACACTATCAGACAAGACTAACATTTTTCATAGCCTGGATGTTTCTTTTCACATACCTATACTTTAGTGTAGGCAGACTCTAACAGTACGCATAGTTGTGTTTATCAAAGGAGAAACGTGACAGTTTACACCAACACAAAATTCCTTCCTGTCATCTCGCGGATGACGTTTCATTCCAGTAGCATTCCATCACATATCTGGCCATTACTCTACGTCACCCAGCTTTATTCTTATCATTTCCTCTTTGGAGAATTACTCGCGTGCCACAGAGGCATCTCCTTCCTGCAGCTATTGCATAAGTTCACAGCACTGAGTTGCTGCACAGCCTGGCACAGCTGGTCCTCATGAGATAAACAACACCACAACACAGGACTTGCATTGTGTTCTAAGTGGCACTATTTTTCTGTCACTGGCCCGAATAGACAACTGAGCGCCCTTTGTGCTGCTCTCAGCTGTGAGGTCACGTTGGTCACCCAGAGCATCTGATTTGGTCATATGGCAATGGGATGTCTTGTGAAGCCTGGAGCTGGCCTCAGTAGCCCTGCAAAAGAATTCCACTCTGCTTTGATGTTACTAATGGGGCTATTCATTGTGGCCCCTCCAGGACTCAGCAGACATGTCCATTCTATAAGAGCTTTTAAAACTTCTTTTGTCACCGAGTGAAATGTAACAGAATGTGCGGCTTATCATCGTACAATAATATGCCCGGCTTCATTATTCACGCATTTCCGAAGTTGCCAGAGCTTACACCGTTTGATGAATAACAGAGTACGCCGCCGGGTCCCGTCGGAGCAATAGTGGGCAGCTCCGCAGTAATCACTTCCTTCAGAAGACCTCTTAGATGAAGCATTTAGAGAATGCACGGGGTCCTGCATGGCAGCTTTTATCTCAGAAGGCCAGGTCCGGAGCTTTATCATCGTTATGTAATCCCAGCCCAGCCAGTAGCCACAGGAAAGAGCAATTACAGGATGACCCATTTCAATGAATCATTGTCAACCCAATCAGTGAGTTGTTCTATGGGGTTTTCTGAATATCCTGGGTGCAGTGGAGACCTACTGATGTGTTTTAAAAGTGGGTTTGGGAAGAGAGATTAGGCTGATCTCCAGTTTTTTTATCAGCTTCCTGTAAGTTATGACTGGACGTGAGTATCTGATTAACATAGATTACGTCTAAAAAGTTTGATGCCTAGTTCTTACAAAACATCTAATGATGTCACTTTTGCCTTGTGATGGACATTTAACTATTTATAGACTGAGGATTAACCGATAAATTGGGTATGATATCAAGAACAGCCAAACATGAACATTTTTATTAGTTGCAGCCACAGACTGTATACAAAAGTCAGATGTGGCCACCATGACATCGGCCACTGCTTAGAGAAGTCCCAGCCTGAAGCCTCGAGTTGAACATGTTGGTTGTGTTTCATAAACTCAGAGCAAGTGAGCCAAACGGTTGTTTTCCCTCAGATTTCTGCACAACCACACAACTATGAAACCAAGGAGTTGCTCCCTGCTGGAAATGACAAAGAATACGAGGCAGTTCTTCACTGCCTTTTTTAAGCAGCAATCAATGCAGCAATGATATTACTTTTTGTTCCAGTTTAATGTGACACAATGTACAATTTTAAAGAGTGATAGATTTATTTTTTTAAGGGACATGACTTGTGTCTTTGACAGGTGAAGCAGTCATTTTTGGCACAAAGTGGGACAATCATGAGAAAGCTTCGAGACGAGTAATTGAAGCACTTGCCAATGGGAGCTGATGATGGTGAATCCATTCGTGTGTTGCCTTTGCAATGAACACCTGGAATGTCCAACCAGCTACAAAAATTTATGAAATGAGAAAATCAGTTTATGTGTGAATTATATATAAAGTAGATTGGGAGCTTTCAGGCCCGCTCCCACTTTGGATCCAGGAACCAGACACCCTCTCTACTGTAAAAAAGCTTACAGTTGGGCTGAAAGGGTTTAGACCCTGAATCCTCCCATAGTTACACCGCAATAGGCCTAGGCTGCAAACTAAGGGCTTCCCATGATGTGAAGTGTTTCTTCTTCACGCACCTTTTTTCATTCACATGTGTTTATACACCACTCTATATTTAATCATTAGTTATTACTAATCTCTGTCTGTCTTCCACAGTGTGTCCTTTGTCCTGTCTCCTTCCCTTCGAAGGAAGTTTGGATGTTTCTTCCTGTTAAAAGGGAATTTTTCCTTCCCGCTGTCGCCAAGTGCTTGCCTAAAGCGGGACATTTGATTGGTCCGATTTTATTGTAGAGTTTTTACCTTACAATATATAAAGCGCCTTGAGGTGACTGCAGTTGTGATTTGGTGCTATATAAATCAAACTGAATGGAATGTGATCAGGCAAATGACCAAATGAGAAGTTAAATTTATGAGCAATTAAATACACAAACACACCTCTTGTGTGTAAACTTAAAGCCACAGCACCAATGACACAATTACAGTTAAACTACCTGCAGAATAATGAATTTTAGAAAATGAACTACCAATAGTAGCCTTTTCTTTAGCTCCACATGCAAACACACTAGACATTTATACACAACAGATAAACAAGATAAATGAGCTGATGTTATAATTTACTTTAAGTGTCAGTGTCAAACGCTGTTGGGTAACAAATTTGTGTCCGCGGCATCTTGGAGCAGACGTGGCTGACTCGAGAAATAAACTCATTATTTGCCTGCTTACAATCAGAAGGCCAGTTAGTAATGAGGCACAGAGCTATTGATAGAGATGCATTGCTCTCCTCTGGGGCCACTGAAAATTTGTCCAAGCTTAAATAAAATGAGAATAAAAATAACTGATTGGAAATCAATGCACATACATCATTCACTCTTTTGCTAAAAGGAGAAATGGAAGGAAAGAGAGAAGGAATCGGGGGGGGGGAGCTCCTGGAAAATCGATATTCATTCGAATCATAAATCAGAATTGAGTCAGTGCTCGTGTGGGGAGGGGGAGATAATCATTGGCCTGGTTTTGGATTACACACTCCACGTGGCTGAGGCTCGTCCAGCCTGCAAATGTGTTTAGTGTTGTTGCAGTCCCCTGCTTGCTACATTACCTGCCCCCTCCTGACAAACACATACACACACACACACACACACACACACACACACACACACACACACACACACACAGACATGTTGAGATCCTCTCATTGAAATGCATTGATGGTTTAGGGCGACGCCTACCTTACGTGCAGCTGTCAGGCAACGCTTGGGACAGATCAACACGTGCGCACAATGGGTCATGCGGTGTCAACCCCATCAGGTCGTCAGTGAGGAGCCCCTGGCCCCCCAGCAGCTCTTGACCTTGAGGATGAAGAGTGGGCCCCATGAGTGCGTGGATGTGTGTGTTTTAGCTGAGCGGACATGAGACACAGCAATCAGTCACAATGCTCATGTGATGTTTGGCGATAGAGGGTCGTGAATTGCTTTGTGTGCTCGCATTCAGAACAGGCTGATATATCAGTTTGCTGATATACTGGGGTGGAAATCAATATCGTCCACCTCCAGTACGATGGAGGGTCGTCCCCGATCAAAGCTGCACTCAGAGGGCAAAATAGATCTTTCTTTGTTTTCGGTAAGCAGGCCTGGGTTGGTCATCCCGAGCGTTTGAGATTTTCATTTTTAGTTTGTGTCTTTATACACATGCGATAGAGCATTTTAATTCCATATTTATCATCACTGACCTTTAAA